GTTATTAAGTAATATATAGTATAACTTGTAATCTAACAATACAATTTTTATTAAACAATCAATTAAAATATTGATTATTAATAAATCTTATCAAATATAGTAATAAGTACTTAATATATTAATAATTATATATTTTTCATTAATTTATGGGAATATAAATGTTTTAAATTATATTATTAATATAAAAAAATATTATTATTATTATTGTCATTATATTAATTAATAAAGTATGTAAACAATGTATAAATTTAATATCAATTTGAAGTTACAAAATATTTAAAAAAAAATATTTTTATTAAATTTGTAGTTAAAAAATAATAGTTTTATTTTTAATAAAAATGTTTTTTTACATTGAAAAATTATAAGTACTTTATTTTATACTTTTAAGATTATTATTATAGTAACTTTATAATTATCAATAATTGATATTAATTATTAACTATACAGTATATAATGTATATTAAAATAGTTTTTGTTTAAATTTTTGTTGCATTAATACGCAGTAGATTTTAATAATATGTATTTATATAAATAATAAAAAAACATACATATAAAAGTGATTTTTGTTTACTGTAAATAATTCAAATAAACTTTTAATTTCAACTATTTTAGAAAAATAAAAAAATAATTTCTGTAAATTAAAATAAATAATATTAAAAAATAATATACAGATTATATTATTATCATATATATATATGTGATTATTTAGTTGGACAAAGTTGAATTAAGATAATAAAATATTTAAACTGTTTATATTTTCATATAATATAAGCATATTTAGTTATGATAAGCTATTAACTATTAAATAATTTATAATAATGTCTATAAATGAGTTGTTTAATAAATTTGGATTATGTCAACATATACCACAACAATTGAAAAATCAAATCAAATTATTTCATTGCGACCGCAGTAGTGTAAGGTTTGTGACAAATGATGATCAATGCTATACATTAGGTGATAACTGGAATGGTATACTTGGTTTGGGTCACGACATTGATGTCTATGAACCAAAAGTTATACCAGAATTGTGTCAGAAAAATGTCGAAAAATTTGTTTTCGGAAATGATTTTGGATTGTGTTTAACAAATGATCAACAAATATATAGTTGGGGTTCAAATCAATACAAACAATTGGGTAGATATACCAGTGATAAGTACAGTAAACCAGCAATTATTACATTACTAACCTATAAATGTATTATTGATATTACTTGTGGATCAAATCATTCACTGGCACTAAGCAGTGATGGCATTGTCTATGGATGGGGTCATAACAGCTGCGGACAGTGTGGTTGCGGACAACAAACTGAATGTATTGATAGTCCGATTCGTATTATATTTCCTATGCTTTCTATTATTGAATCAATTAATTGTTACACTAGTTGTTCATTTGCCATAACTATGGATGGATTTTGGATACAGTTGGGGTATAAATAGTTTAAGTAAATTTTATTATAGATATGAGGATAAAGATAATTTAAAACCACAATTAGTATCAAATATAAATAAAATTAAAAAAAATCCTAATGATACTGATTATAAATTTATATTAACAAAAACAGGAAATTTGTATTATCGCTATTATGATTACGATTTAGAAAGATATGAATTTGAATTCAAACTAATTTATGAAGAAAATAATATTATGGATATATTTGATAATTATGTAAACATTAATAATAATTATTATGAATTAGATTTTGTTTATAACGAAATTATTCCAAAAAAATATGAAATAACTAAAAATAATTTTGATGAACTTGTTGCTGATATTTATGAGGAACTAATCGTTACCATTAATGTTGAAGATTATAATAAAAAATATGGTTATAATTGTGCCATAAATTTAATGAACAAATTTCCAATATTACAAAAAATATCAGCTGAAAGTAATATTAAATTATTTCATTATAATAGAAGAAATATATGGTTTCAAACAAATGATAGTCAATGCTATACATTGGGTTATTATTTGGTTTGATTTATTTGAGTTTGGTTTTAACAATATATTTGAGGAACCAAAATTTATACCCGAATTGTCTAATAAAAGCATTAATAAATTTGTTTTCGGATTGGATTTTGTATTATGTTTAACCAATAATCAACAACTATATAGTTGGGGTTCAAATAAATACAAACAATTGGGTAGACATTCCAGTGATGATGACTTCATTAAACCAGAGATTATAACATTTCTTAACGATAAATGTATTATTGATATTACTTGCGGTTCACATCATTCACTGGCCCTAACCAGTGATGGCATTGTCTATGGATGGGGTCATAACATTTGGGGACAGTGTGGTTGCGGACAACTAACTGATGATATTGATAGTCCCACACGTATTAAATTTCCATCAGTTGCTGTCATTAAATCAATTTATTGCTATACTAACAGTTCATTTGCCATAACAATTGATGGACACGTATACAAATGGGGTATTTATTTTCAAAAAGTATACTTCAAACCAAAAATAATTAGAAATATAGAAAAAATAGAAAATATAAAAACAATATCATTGTATAATAACGATATAACTTTAATTATTTATTTTTTAACAAATGATGGATATTTGTATCAATACGGATATATTGATAATTTATTTATTAAATTAAGTTCAGTTGGTATTAATTTAATTACCAATATTCACTATAATCTAATACAAACTTCTGATAATAAATGTTATAAATTAAAATACGAACATAAAGTTAATATGAAAAAACTAGATTACAATAATTTTATTGATTTAATTGCTGATATCTATGAAATCACAGATAAAACAGTTAATATTAATTTATATTTAAATTCAATCAACAAAATCAATGAAAAACTAAATAATTTTCAAAATAATTTTCAAATGACAAAACTATTGGGTTCGGGAAGTTTTGGTACAGTTAATGAAGTCATAGATAAAGATACTAATTATTTGTTTGCTATTAAAATTATAATTTTAAATTGTAAGTATATAATTTATTTCAATTAAATAATTATTAAATTTTGATTTATTTAAAATTTAGCAAATAATCTGAAAAATTATTCAATTGAAGGAGAAGTTAAACATTTAATGAAACATAAGTCAAATTTTGTAGTCACTTGTTATGACGCGTGGTATGAATCAAACATTTTATACATTCAAATGGAGTTATGTTCACAAAGTTTTAAGGATTTTATTCAATTAAAATCAAAAACATTTCAAAGACTAACCACTTAACCAATAGATTGTATCGAGTATTACATATCAAGTCATCTGATGTTAGAATTGTGTGAATGCGTTGATTACTTACATACCCGCAAACCACCGGTTATTCATCGGGATCTAAAGCCGGCAAATATACTCATCAATAATAAACCCACTGATAATAGGTTTATTAAATTGGGTGACTTTGGTTTAGCCACTGAACACAATAGGATTGGTTCGCAATCGGAATTACACACAAAAAACAAAGGAACGCCTAAATATATGGCACCAGAAGTTTGTAGTACAGACACAAATAGAGTAGCATATAATGAAAAAAGTGATATCTATAGTATGGGAATGATATTAATGGATTTATTTGGTATAGATGATGCAAACTTGTAAGTTTTTTTTAAAATTTATTTAAATTAATTAATATTTTTCATTAAAAAATTATTTTTAATTTTTATTTATATTTTTTTATTTTATAATAGCTTGACTACTAATAAAAAAACTAACATTTCTAAATACATGACAAATATTATCAAATTGATACAATTAATCATTCAACCGGTCTATCATAATAGACCCGATTGTAGTCATATTATACGAAATAAAAGCAAATATATTAATGAAGATTTAATTAATATTGCTTTGTATAATCAATAAGTTATATCAGTTCATAATTGTGATGATAATAATAATAACAGTGATATATTTAGACATATAATTTATTATAAATCAATTTTAGATATCAATATTGATGATTGTAAAATTTGTTATAATAATAATAATAGTGTAGACAATAGTTATACAAACAAGAGTTGCACTTCAGAAAATAGTAGTGATAGTGATAAACATTAGTATAAAGATAAAAATGAAAATAGGATGAATTATTGGAATACTTATATAGGCAGTGATAGTGATAGTGATAATATTTTGCATTTTGAATTAAAGTAAAATTAAACCTATAATTATATTTAAATTTATCAAGTTTGTGTAAAAAATTATTTTTAATTAAATTTTAAAAATATTTATAGAAAAACTAAACTTATTAAACATTAAATAAAATTAATGAACAGCTAAATAATTTTAATAATAATTAAACTAATACAGATGTTCAGAAATTGTTTTAAAAATAATAGATATTTAAAACTAAAAAAATTAGAAATTTAGAAAATATAAAAGCAATATCAGCATATAATAAACATATTATTTTTATTATATATTTTTTTTTAAAAAATGATGGATATTTGTATGAATACGGATTTATAAATAAATTATTTATTAAAATAACTTCAATTGGTATTAATTTAATTACAGATAAGTATTATAATGTAATCAAAACAAATGATAATAAATGTTATAAATTATAATACGAACAAACAATTAATATTTATAAAAAAACTAGATTACAATAAAGTTATTGATTTAATAGCTGATAAATATGAAATTACAAGTAAAACAATTGACATTCAATTATATTTAAATTCAATCAACAAAATTAATGAAAAACTAAATAATTTTAATAATAATTTTCAAATGACTAAACTATTGGGTTCGGGAAGCTTTGGTACAGTTAATGAAGTCAACGAAAAAAATACTAATAAATTGTTTGCCATTAAAACTATAATTTTAAATTGTAAGTATTAAAATTTAATTAAACTAAATAAGTATTAAGTTTAAATTTATATTATATATAGATAATAAAAATGAAAATGATTCAATTGAACCAGAAGTCAAACACTTAATAAAACTTAAGTCAAAATTTGTAGTCATTTGTTATGACGCGTGGTTTGAATCAAATATTTTATACATTCAAATGGAGTTATGTTCACAAAGTTTTAAAGATTTTATTGAATTAAAATCAAAAACATTTCAAAGACTAACCACTCAACCAATAGATTGTATCGAGTATTATATTACAAGTCATCTGATGTTAGAAATATGTGAATGCGTTGATTACTTACATACCCGCAAACCACCGGTTATTCATCGGGATCTAAAACCGGCGAATATACTCATTAATAATAAACCAACTGATAATCGGTTCATTAAATTGGGTGACTTTGGTTTGGCCACTGAACACATTAGGATTGGTTCACAATCAAAATCACATACAAAATTTGTGGGAACACCTGATTATATGGCACCAGAAGTTCACAATGGCATCGATAGGGCGTCATATAATGAAAAAATTGATATCTATAGTATGGGAATGGTATTAATGGGTTTATTTGATCTAGATGATCCTAATTTGTAAGTATTTAATCAATAGTATTTTTGAATACTTTTACAATTTAATTTTTATTGATTTTTTAATAGTGATAATTTAATTATTTATAAGGAAACAAATATTTATAATAATATGAAAAATATTATCCAATTAATTCAATCAATGTTACAACCRATATATWGTGATAGGCCATCGTGTAGTGATATTATTCAAGATAAATGCAATTATATTAATGAAGATTTAGTTAATATTGWATTGTTTAGTCAATCAGTTATATCTGATCATAAATGCGATGATAATAGTAGTGATATATTTCGACAAATTTTTAAATCTAAATCAAATTTTCTGGACATCAATACTGATGACTGCAGTGTTTGTTATACTAATGATAATAATAATATTATTAATAATAATACAGTTAGTAGTGATTGTGATGATGATAGTAATGATTCAGATGATAGTATTGATAATAATACAGTTAGTAGTTTTATTAATAGTAGTAGTGATAGTGAAGATATTAGTGATTCAAATGATTGTAGCAATAAAATTTCTAAATTGAAATAAAAATTAGTAAATTAGTAACAAATTAGTAAAAAAAAAGATTAGTAAATAACATATTTTATTGAGAATCAATATTATGCTTCAAACTATACTTAAATCACTATTAATAATATATAATAAAAAATATCATATTAAAATTTTTATAAATAGTTTAAATATTTGTTATTTTGTAATATTATATAAAGAAATAATAAAATAATAGTTAAATTTATATAATTATTTTATTATAAGATTGTATATATTTATTAATTAAAATAAAAAATCTAATTTATAATTATTACTCTATAATTAAATATTTAAATAAGTATTTAAATTTTTTAGAAATATTTTATATTTAATATATGTTATAATATAAGTAATATTTAACAAAATTATAATCAATTATTCTTATTGATTAGATTTTTTAATTTAATTAATAAATAAATACAATCTTATAATAAAATAATTATTTAAATTTAATTATTATTTTATTATTTCTTTATATAATATTACAAAATAACAAATATTTATTAACTATTTATAAAAATTTCAATATGATATTTTTTATTATATATTATTAATAGTGTCTTAAGTATAGTATAAGTTTGAAACATAATATTGATTCTCAATAAAAATATGTTATTTTGTATCGATTTAATGCAGAAATATTTAATCGACATTTTTTATTAAGATTGATTTTGAGAGACATTTCCTAAATATTTATTGAGTATAATTGATGTCTAACTGGGAGTTCCCGACAGTAGTAGTATTAGTAGTAGTGATCGTCTCGACAAAGGTAACGACAAATACCTTTACTTTCATCAATCGGCCGGCTATAGGATGACTGTCGAGATGAGTCGCCATCTTGTCTTATATACTGTTTTATGGTTGACAACAATCTTATCATCTAATTATACACATAAAAGATTATTAGCTATTTTATATATACTATATATTGTATTTTATAAAATTATTATTGTTTGTTTAGATATTATTATCATTAATAATAAATCTATTAATCATCATTATTTACACTAGTTTTATCTAAAATCTGAATATTTGTCGTCTAATGTATAGAAATTTTTATTAATAAAAAAAATTAAAACATATTTTCATCTAAAGTTATATACAGTAATAAATTAATTAATTATATAGCTTATATAGATTTATATAACTTATTTTTTTCATGTGAACTTTTCCATTTAAACAAATGTTAACTGGTAATTGTTAATAGTTATCTAACTGTAATCGTTGATCACTTATTATAATCACAATTTCGCTGTAGAAACGAGTCCTTTAGGTGTAGGTGTTTGGGTTGTGTATAAGTCGATACTTGTTGTTGTTGTTGTTGTTATTAGTCATCATTGGCTTCATTTGGGAGTTCCATGTATTCTAACCAAAATTTACATTCACCATTTTTATGGCATTCAACATTATAACTTTTATTAATATCAAATTTATGTTGTTTTTTTAATTTTATAGTTTAATAGAAAAAAACATGAATGTTTTGTGTTTAACTATTATTGGTTAGAAAATTTAATTATAAAATAATAAATAGCTATCAATTAATTATAACATTATTTTAAAAATATAATTAACTAAATAAATAATTGAAAAAATTTAATAGATTTATAATTGTGTTTAATTTTTTAAAGTTATATACATTTTTTTTTAATTTGAACAACAAGTATCGACTTATACATTACCTAACATTTAAATAATTGAATAATTTTTTTAAATGCGCTTGAAATGCTTTTTAAAAAACTAAATAAATAATTGTAAAATTTAATAGATATATTTTTTTATAATAATAAAAACTAGTAAAACTGTTTGTAGAATTTTAATGTCAATTATTAAGTTTATTAACTTATTATTACTTTTTTTTAATAAAAGAATTAATTAATTAATTAATTAAAAAGAACCATATTATTAATTAATGTTAAATCAACAATATATAAATTATGTAATTTGTATATATATATATGGTTATAAAGGGAGGGGTTAGTGGGTAAAACTTTTTATCCCGCTGATATTTTAATATATTTGCAAAAATATTTTTGAAATATTTACTTAATTATTTATTTAAATAAAATTTTAAAAATTATTAATTAAAATTTTTAAAAAATATTTATTGTTTTACTAACTTTATTTATGTTAAACTTTTATTTAAATTGTAATATGGTTACTGTCTATTGACAAATAAGTATTTTTTTTATTTTATTACTTGAATATTTTAATTAAAATATGTTATATATATATATATATATATTTGTTTTATATATAAATTATAAAATCAATATAAAATCAATCGTATAAAATATTTTTAAAATAATAATTTTATTAACAAAAAATAATTCTTGATTAAAACATTATAATTCATAAAGTTTTTATAAATAATTTATTTCATTATACTTAATAAATATATACTAGATTATTTTTTATAATAAATATATACTAGATTATTTTTTATAATAAATATATAGTTTTATAAAATCACAACATGGCTTGTTAATATTATATTTTGGTAATTAAGTTAGATTATAAATTAATTAATTTAGGAAAAAAATTTAAAACGTAATATTCAAACAGTTAGTTTTGATGCAAACAAATGTATAGAAAATTTCCCAAAATTCTGGCTCTGAATCCCTGTCCACTGACCGAAGTTCACGTTCTCTTTGTCTAATTTGATGTAGTTTTTCATTAAACATTATTTTATCATTAGTAACAACAGTCATATCGATAGCCCATTCCTTATATTTTGCAATGATTTGAGCACAAGTAGGTCTCTCTTCATATATAGGTTTCATTGTTTCGTTAATAATTCTCAATAGTCTAACATATTTATCATTCCAAACGGTTTCCATATATTTATTAGAATTACTATTTTAAAAAAAACAAATAATTTTTTTTATAAAAAAAATATTTAATAAAATATTTTATTTAATACAAACTCATTGACATCCGTATCGAACAAATCTTCAATAATAGCACTAATACTATAGACATCAGCTTTGGTATTATATTTACGACCTTTTTCTACTTCCGGTGCCATATATTTTGTTGTTCCCACACCTATTGTATGACTTTGCGATAGCTTTTCGTGAACTGTTATTAATCCTAAATCACATAACTTAATGAACCGTCCGTTTCGGATATCGTCGGCAATCAATATGTTATGTGGTTTGAGATCCCTGTGAATGATCGGTGGTTTGCAATCTTCATGTAAATATCGTACAGATTCTAATATTTCTAACAATAATTCACACGTAATATAATACTCCATACAATCCATGAGTTGTTCATCTGATGACTGATGTCTATCAAATACCTGTGCTTTTAATTTGATGGCATCATTCAGACTCATTATACAATATTCCATTGCTATATACATAGATTTGTTAGAAATCCAATCTGTATAGACATTAACTAAATATTTTGACGTTTTTTCATAAAGTGTAATTAATTCTGTAAATATATCACGAATCTTCCAATTATTAGATTCATAACCTAATAATAAAAATATTTATAATTTAAAATTTTTAAGTAGAATTTTAATAATAATTTAATATTAACCTGGTAACTTAATTATTTTTATTGCTGTAATTAATTTTTCAAATTTATGTCTGCATTTATATACCGATCCAAAGCCACCCGAACCCAATAGTTTCAATTCATCATAACATCGAGTATAATCATTAGTAATATCTATAAATTAAATTAATAAATTAAATTAATATAATTTTTTTTATTAATAATAAACTTACCTTTATATTTAATATCTGTAGATTTTTTTTTGATTGATTTAATAAGATTTTCAATGAATTCATTTATATTATCATTAAATTCACTTAAATCATATGTTTTATATGTTAATTGATATTTATTAGCACAATAATCAAAATAATTATTGTAATCAGTTTTAATTATTTCGCCATTCATATAATTATATACAAAATTATTTATTAAATAATAATAATTTCTAATATTCCACTTATAAGATACAATCGATTGTATTTCAATATATTGATTAAATAATTTTGATAATTTTGGCGTTTTCTGAATATCAATCTCATTGTTTTCATTGTAATATTTACCACAAAAATAGATTTCTTTTCTATAATTAGTGAAAAAATATGTAATCCCTGTTCCCGATTGTATGGATGTAATGGCAGACAAATTGCATATTAATGTTGGTTTTATTATTCTAAATTTATTGCAATAATGACCCAATTGATTGTTACGATTTTGACCCCAACTAAACACCTGTCCATCCATTGTCAATGCAAACGATGAGTTATCAAAACAGTGAACAGATTTTATACAATAATTGTCACTAAATTTAATCTTTTCGGGTCTAATGATATCATAATTGTTGTGTCGGCTACCGATTTGTCCGAAAGTATTATTACCCCAACCATACACTTCATTATTATTTTTGGTTACAACTAATGTATGATATGAACCACAACTAACATCGCTTACTAAATCATTTTTTGCATTGATTTGTATAATCATTGGTTTATTATATAAACTATTTTTAAATCCCTGTCCCAATTGTCCACAAATATTATAACCACAACTATAAACATAGTTATCACTCGAAATACAAACGAAAAAATTATTTCCATTTATGAAATTAATAATATTTTTATGTCTCAGATGAATGATCTCTTGTGGTTCACTCACCCACCGGTTGTGTCCCAAACCTAGTGATCCCTTGTGATTAGCACCCAATCCATAGACCCGATCATCTTTGGTTACAAACAGCATATTAACTCCCAAACTATCGTCAAACACATAAAATCTTTCAATACATTTGATCCAATCAATTGGTGTTAAGTCTTTTATTCTTAAATTTTCAATAAATTCTGATTTTATAAAATTAATTCTATTTTCAATGAATTTAATTTCATTGGCTGTAAATTCATTAGACTTTTCAATTGTTTTATAAGTTGTATTGAATTTATTGACACAATAATCAAAATAATTAGTATAATCTGTTTTAATTAATTTATTTTTTATAATTTCAAATATACTGTTATTAATTGAAGACCAAAATAGTTCATCTTCTCTACTAAAAGATCTAATAAATTGAATGTCTTTGAATTTGTTAAAACATTGCAATAATTTTGGTGTTGTCTGAATAATATTATTGTTGTTTTTATTATAATAATAACCACAAATATAAACCATATTTTTTATATTATTAAGAAAATATGTATTACGAAAACCACATTTTACTGATGTAATACCATTCAAATTGCATATCAATTGTGGTAAACATATTTTCGTATCATTAGAATTAAGACCCAATATATTTGCACTATTAGAACCCCAACTAAACACCTGTCCATCCATTGTCAGTGCAAACGATGAACAATCAAAACAGTGAACAGATTTTATACTATAATTACCACTGAAGTGAATCTTTTCGGGTGTAGTGATAGTATCACAAGTGATGTCTCGGCTACCGATTTGTCCGTAACTATTACTACCCCAACCATACACTTCATTATTATTTTCGGTTACAACTAATGTATGATATGAACCACAACTAACATCGATTACTAAATCATTTTTTGCATTGATTTTTATAATCATTGGTCTATTAAATATACTATTTTTAAATCCCTGTCCCAATTGACCATAAATATTATAACCACAACTATAAACACAGTTATCACTCGAAATACAAACGAAAAAATTATATCCATTTATGAAATTAATAATATTTTTATGTCTCAGATGAATGATCTCTTGTGGTTCACTCACCCACCGGTTGTGTCCCAAACCTAGTGATCCCTTGTGATTAGCACCCAATCCATATACCCGATCATCTTTGGTTACAAACAGCATATTAACACCCAAACTGTCGTCAAACACATAAAATCTTTCAATACATTTGATCCAATCAATTGGTGTTAAGTCTTTTATTCTTAAATTTTCAATAAATTCTGATTTTATAAAATTAATTCTATTTTCAATGAATTTAATTTCATTGGCTGTAAATTCATTAGACTTTTCAATTGTTTTATAAGTTGTATTGAATTTATTGACACAATAATCAAAATAATTAGTATAATCTGTTTTAATTAATTTATTTTTTATAATTTCAAATATACTGTTATTAATTGAAGACCAAAATAGTTGTTCTTCTCTACTAAAAGATCTAATAAATTGAATGTCTTTGAATTTGTTAAAACTTTGCAATAATTTTGGTGTCGTCTGAATAATATTATTGTTGTTTTTATTATAATAATAACCACAAATATAAACCATATTTTTTATATTATTAATAAAATATGAATTACGAAAACCACATTTAACTGATGTAATGCCATTTAAATTGCATATCAATTTTGGTAAACATATTTTCGTATCATTACTATTGAGACCCAATTTATTTGCACTATTTTCACCCCAACTAAACACCTGTCCATCCATTGTCAGTGCAAACGATGAACAATCAAAACAGTAAACAGATTTTATACAATAATTACCATTGAAGTCAATCTTTTCGGGTGTAGTGATAGTATCACAAGTGGTGTCTCGGCTACCGATTTGTCCGAAATGATTACTACCCCAACCATACACTTCATTATTATTTTTGGTTATAACTAATATATGATATGAACCACAACTAACATCGCTTACTAAATCATTATTTGCATTGATTTGTATAATAATTGGTTTAATGTATTTATTTTGTTGAGATTTACGACTCAATTGTCGCCGAAAATTATAACCACAAATATAGACACAATTATCACTCGTAATAAAAACAATAAATTTTTCTCCATTTATAAAATTAATAATGTTTTTATATCTCAATTCAATGATCTCCTGTGGTTCACTCACCCACTGGTCGTGTCCCAAACCCAATGATCCCCAATAATTAGCACCCAATCCATAGACCCGATCATCTATAGTTACAAACAGCATATTAACTCCCAAACTGTCGTCAAACACATAAAATCTTTCAATACTTTTGATCAAATCATTTAATTCGAAATTTTCAATAAATTCTGTTTTTATAAAATTAATTGCAAATCCAATTAAATTAATTTCATTGGCTGTAAATTCATGTGTATTTTCATTTGTTTTACACGTTGTATTGAATTTATTGACCAAATAATAAAATTGATTAGTATAATCAGTTTTAATTAATTTATTATTTATAATTTCAAATATACTGTTATCAATTAAACACAAAAATGTTTGTTCATCTTCTTCACTAAATGATCTAATCAATTGAATGTCATTTAATTTGTCAAAATTTTTGTCCAATAATTTTGGTGTCGTCTGAATAATAATATTGTTGTCTTCATTGTAATAATCACCACAAAAATAAACCATATTATTTATATTATTAAGAAAATATGTATTACGATAACCACATTTTACTGATGTAATGCCATTCAAATTGCATATCAATTGTGGTAAACATATTTTCGTATCATTAGAATTAAGACCCAATAAATTTCTACAATTATAACCCCAACAAAACACCTGTCCATCCATTGTCAGTGCAAACGATGAGTTATCAAAACAGTGAACAGATTTTATAAAATAATTGCCATTGAATTCAATCTTTTCGGGTTTAGTGATAGCATCACTAGTGGTGTTTCGGCTACCGATTTGTCCGAATTGATTGCTACCCCAACCATACACTTCATTATTATTATCGATTAAAACTAATGTATGATTTGTACCACAACTCACATCATGTATTAAAAAATCATTTTTTCCATTAATTCTGATAATCATTGGTTTTTTAGTTTCATAATCTTCACATAATCCCTGACCCAATTGTCCGTATCTATTATAACCCCAACTATACAAACAATTATCACTCGTCAAACAAACAATAAATTCAGATCCGTTTATGAAATTAATACACTTTTTATGTCTCAATTCAATGATCTCTTGTGGTTCACTCATACAATGAGAATGTCCTAATCCAAGTATACCGAGTCTATTATTACCCAAACCGTATACCCGATCATTATCTTTGGTTACAAACAGCATATTAACTTCGATATTGTCGTCAAACAAATAAAATTTGTCTATTAATTTGATCCAATCATTTAGCGTTAATTTTCTTAACTCTTTTATTTCAATATATTTTGATTTAATAAAATTAATAGTATTTAATATAAATTTTCTAATATTATCTTGAAATTCATTATTATCAGTATATGTTTTATAAGTTATTGGATATCTATCGACACAATAATCAAAATAATTTGTATAATTTGTTTTTATTATTTTATTTTTTATTAGTTTATAGACAATACCATCCATTAAACACAATGGCGTTCTATCCGTACATTTATAGGATTTCATTGACTGAATATCTGAATATTCGTTACAATTACCCAATAATTTTGGTGTTAATTGTATATCAATTTCATTGTTTTCATTATAATATTGACCACAAAAATATATTTCATTTTTATGATTACTAATAAAAAATGTTATCCAAAATCCTAGTTTTATTGATGTAATACCATTCAAATTGCTTATTAATTGTGGCAAACATATCATCGTTTCCAGGCTATTATGTCCTAATATATTGTCACAATTTTGTCCCCAACTAAACACCTGTCCATCCATTGTCAGTGCAAACGATGAATCTTCAAAACAGTGAACAGATTTTATACAATAATTGCCATTAAATTCAATTATTTTGGGTGTAGTGATGGCATCACAAGTGGTGTTTTGGCTACCGATTTGTCCGTAACTATTACTACCCCAACCATACACTTCATTATTATTTTCGGTTACAACTAATGTATGACTTGAACCACAACTCACATCTCGTATTAAATCATTGTTTGCATTGATTTCTATAATAATTGGTTTATTATATATATTATTTTCGCATATATAACCCAATTGTCCCCATTTATTATAACCACAACTATACACACAACTATCATTTGACACAAATATCATGAATTGTCTACCGTTTATAAAATTAATAATCTTTTTATGTCTCAATTCAATGATCTCTTGTGGTTCACTCACCCACTGATTGTGTCCCAAACCCAGTGATCCGTAATAATTAGCACCCAATCCATAGACCCGATCATCATCTTTGGTAACAAATAGCATATTAGCTCCCAAATCGTCGTCAAACACATAAAATCTTTCAATCCTTTTGATCCAATCATTTGGTTCAATGTCTTGTTTTTCACACATTTTCTGTTGATTTCTGTTTTTCATCTTTACTGACATTTTGACACATTTTGTGTTATAATTGTTATAATTATTTTCACAATTATTTTCTGTTTGACATTACTTCAAATGATATATTGATTTAATTATTTTATTATCATTAATTACTATTTGGTAACTAATAATATTTGGTGTCTATTAAGTATTTAAACTAAAGTCAATTTTGTCTAATAATACATATATTTTTACAAAAAAATTTTTAATATCATATATATAACTAAAATATGTGTAACTAAGTAATTATCTATTTAAGTGTTTGAGTTTGAAATAACTAATCAATATGATTGTTAGTATTATTACTATTATTTTATTTATAATAAAAGCAAAATTATGATTACTAATCTACTTTTATAATTAGTAACTACTTTTTTTTAAAAAAAATACACTATAAATGAATTTATTTAAAGTATTAAACATAATAAATAATTTATTTATATTTATTATACAATTTATTTATTTTTTCAATTATACATTTTCCGTTATTAAATGTTGTTTTGAAAAAAAAGATATTTTGATATTTTTCAAGTATTTCATAGAATTTTATATTAAATAAATTGAACTATGGATATTAATAAGATAGTAAAATACAATAAAATATTTATCATAAACATTTACTAATATATATATAATAATAAACTATTAATAATTAATTATATTAATATATAAATATATAGCTTATCATTTTATTTTATTATTTAATATACTATATATAAAAATATTGATTATTATTGACTTAGTAAATGTATTTCAATAAAATTTATATAAAATATTTTTCTCAATAATTTACTATTTTTTATGTAAAGTATCACTTCGCTTTTTTTACATAAATGTATATATATATACTAAATTTTTAAATTTTGACTTCAGA